TCCATTGAACATTTACACTAATTGAATTGAAAAAATCACACTATAAAATAATAAACTATAGAGTTAAATCATTACTCTAGAGCTTAGTGGTCCTCCTGGGAACAGGTATAGTGTTAAATTTCACTCTATTTTTTTTACTGTGTACTATTCATTTTCAAATTTCAGTGTGTATAGTGTAGTGTGTCGTGTGTCTACATTGGAGTGGATTATAAAAGTTTTGACTTCCGATTTGATGCTGTATAGAGTGATTCAATTTGATTATAATCGAAGGATATGGATATATCTGTTGATATCTGCGCTATGATGAAACAACGAATACACATCGCTTTCTCATTTTTTGAAGACAAATGTGAAGATAGTTATTTTCAAATTCGTCAAATTTTGTCATATGTTTCAGATTACAGCCTACTTTTTATTTTTGTCAGTATTGACAAACGTTTGAAAAGTCTGTTGTGACGCTGAGATAAATGAAAATTATTGGTGAAACTCAATGGTGCTTATCGTTGCTATTCCAGTGTTGTCAAAAATAAGAATATGGGAATGTGTGTTTCGTTTCTCCCATCAGTGTAAATATCATCAAGGAACCATAATGCGGACGATCAATTCGGAACAGCCTGTACAGAATAGTCGGAAGAACGGTATGTTTTTGAAGAAACCTATACTGGTTCAATCAGTTGACGTTTATATAGGTACCTTATTTATTGAAGCATTCTCGGGTAGGGACTCTGCAATTGACATAATATAATTCATAATCAGTGAATGAGAAGTAATGACATGAATCATAATAATATATCAATATTATTCAATTTCATCTATACAGTGTGTGCGTATCCAACCCGCAACACCCTTCTAAATTGGAACCCATCGAACGATTTACAAAAACAAAAATTCCATAATATAGTACTCAACGAGCTCTATTTGAGAATGTGAACAAATTTGAAATATTCAGATTCTCAAGGCCTACTTTTGTTTGTTGAAGGGATCAACATTTCAAAAACGACTATCAGGAAATTTTTTGTCGAAACTGTGACTAGCCTATTCGATTCAGGCATAGCTGAAATACCCATATACGAAATTTGAACGCAAAATCTCATATAGTGGCAAATTTTGATATTATCGATTTTTTGATTCACCCTGTGTCAAAATTCAAGGAGTTGATATAACCGCTGGAGTAGTAATTCAATGGAAGAACACATCGGATACTAAGATACGAAGTTTCATCATTGTGACTTCTACAGGAAGATCTTTCTTGGTCAACCAAAAATTGAGGAAATTGAAGTATACAAACTTTCATTATTGTCCATATATTTTTTTCCTGGGAATATAAATGATGGTTACTTATTCGAGGAGATATTCTCTATACATAACAAATTCTATTGCCACCTCAAATTTTCCTTCCATTCCGCCCAAATCGGTATATTATTATAATCACTTTAAGAGAGTGTTTGTCTGTTATTCTATTTGTGTTATATTCGACAATTCTTTATCAATCGAGACGATTTTCAAACTCACTGTGTGATGGCTGCTTTGCATGAAATGTGCGAAAAAAGGTACTTGAGTTTTCAAAATTGTGAACCTAAACTTTAATTTTATTGATTTTTGGATGACCTAGAGAGATCTTCCTGTAGAAGTTACAACGATGAAACTTCGTCTTCAAGTATTCGATGCGTTTCCCCATTGAATTACTACTTCAGCAGATATATCTATTCCTCAGATTTTGATACGGGGTGAATCGAAAAATCAGAAATAGCAAAATTTGCCATCGAATAACGAACACCCTGTATAATATTTTGCGTTCTTATTTCGTATGGGAGTATTTGAGATATGCCTGAATCGAATGGGCTAGTCACTGTTTCGACAAAAAATTGCCTAATAGTCGTTTTTGAAATTTTGACCGATTCAACAATCAAAAGTATGCCTTGAAAATCTGAATATTTCAGATTTGTCAACATTTTCGAATAGATCTCGTTGGGCACTATAATTCCAAATTCAGTCTCCTATATGGATTCTTCAATGAATAGGTAAAATTTCAAATGATTTGAACAAAGGTTTCCCTCAAGTACCTACAGACAAACACACAATACACACGACTCTACTAAATCTGTTAGAAAATCTATTCATGACAGTAAACTAGTCTATCTAGAATTATACTTATAAATTTTCAGCAGCTATTAGTAGTAACAAAGTATCAGAGAAGTGTAAATCAGTCAACCTATTTGATACAAGTCAATACGACCTAATACTTACATCCACATCTCTATTTGTGCCAGGCAGGTGTTGAACAATGCAATATGTATTCTATTTGGATCTAATCGAGTTCTTTTAGCAAAATCAATCTATTCAGTTCAGCAAATGAATTGCTGTGGCGCCTATTTAATGCAAACATTTTGCTGTGGTTATGCAATTTCTTATAACTGCTAATAGAAACTTATCTCAGTGCACTTTTCTGCGCACCCTGTAAATTATTCACCGGTTGTGATTATAGTCAGTGATCTGTTAACCTTCGATATTCAACATTTGATCAATGCATCTCACTAAAAATTGCAATTCACATAAAAATGGCGTACTTATGTTTGATAGAATGCCTTCGTCATTCGTTACTTTTTCTAGAAAAACTCGAATAACTCAAAAACGGTTCATTTTATACAGGGTGTAATTTAATTGATAGGACATTATTGTTATTGATCAAAAGAACTTTCACAATGTGAAATATGGTCACCTTTATGAATATGTACTTGTCAAAATAAGACTGCAACGTAATCGATCGAATGTCATTATTTTAAATATGAAATAGGACACCAGCGAACTAGTTTTCGTTATACCACGAATGTATGAAAATGGTGTTTAATTTTTTTATGCGATAACGGTGCGTCGATGGAAAGAAATTCATGAAGTCAAATTGTTGCGAAATGTATAGGGATTCCAACAATTATTTTAATTTTTGGAAAAAGCGAGGACGTACAGTATTTTTTTAGGAAAATCTCCAATATACATCCCATACGGACGCCACTGGTAGGAATATTGAAAAATCTACAATAATAATTGCCTATTACTGCTTAGTAGGTAGATGTCAAAGGTATGATAAAAAAACGCATATTTTCTTGAAATTTCAACACCCTCTAGCTCAAAATTTAAGAGCTTCAAGGCAAATGTTCATATGAACTGATGTCCTTCTCAGAATGAGCTAAGGAAACATATCCTATATTTCTAGCCATCAATTGAATTATACCTTGTATATATAGGATGATACATGCATTTGAATCAGAATCATGGAAGGAATTCAAAAATGTTGTAAATTGCATCAGGGTGTCCTATTGAAAATAACAAAGATTACGTCACTTCCATCCCAAAGAATTTTCAGAGTCGTGCTACTTTTTGTTTTCCATAATATAGATCGCGTTAACTTATGAAGATATAGGTACCCTGTATACTTATAAATTAACACATTGAAATACGAAGACAATTTGTGCAAGAATAATGTTTTTTCATTTCAATATTTTCCACTTCGTTGAATGGACAAGTTGCCGAATGGGCAAGTCGTCGGATTTTTGGCCAAAACGCCGAAACAGATCGGTAATCATTTTGCCGAAAGTGGTCATTATGCCGAAAAACGCCAGTGGACAAGTTGCCGAAAGTGGTCATGACGCCGAAACAGCAATTTGGACATTTCGCCGTAAGTGGTCAAAACGCCGAAATGACCGATTGGAATGTTCTCATTTCTCGGAAAACTACTTGAGAGTACAAGGAAGACTACTCTTTTTGAAATATCTGATCTAACTTGACCTGCATGAACATTCTCTCTAGAAGGCATATTTTTTAGAAAAGAAAATAAAAAAGATCCCATAAACAAAAGTCGTAGAAGTTTTCGATTGCGAGATACAGGGTGTCAAAGTTGAAAAATAAAAATAATTTTCATTTGATTTCTAGATTACCGCTCAACAAAAATGTTTGATAAAATGCGTAACTCAGTACTTGAAAGCACCGAACATGAACGTTTATGTTCGGTGTTGAGAGTGATTGAAAGGGTAGCATTACTTGGTCAATCTGACTCACAGTGGCACTGTTGAGGGGTATTGAAATTTTATTCGAAAATATGAAAGATGATGCAATTTTGTAAAAAAACCCAATAACCAAGTTCAACTCCAAAATTTGATGTTGATATCCGAGGATATTGGATAGTCCATTCGAGACATCTGTTCAGATTACTCTATAACCATGATAAATATCAATCTGTTATTGTGGCACTATATGCCAGTCACATAACAGACAAAATTTTGTTACCACGATAAGCCAAACAAGGTGGATATAAGAACGTTCTATAAATATTTTCAACTACGACTTCTTTCATTTTCTTGAGACGCCCTTTTAACTCTCGAAATGCGTCCCACATATTACGAATCAACCTGTATATCTATATTCGTTATCAAACATTTTCCAAAACGAAGTGTCACTAACAATCGAATGAATTTTTCTTTTGGGCTCTCTGATAGAGAAAATTCTGGACGCAGTGACATTTTGGGGCAAATCAACACATGTAGGTATATTGAAATAGCACTCGTGCATATTTTTATTTTATAGAAACGAGGAAATAGAATCCTAAAAAATTTGGCAGAATAGACATCATGTTCATTTTGTCAATACGGATTAGAGTTTCATTCGCGGAAATAATGCAGTCCAATGAACCAATACGCCGACATAATTAATACAAATCAAAATCGAAATAATTGTGATGGCTTCACCTCTATGAAGAAAGAGTATACTATATTCTATACCTTGGAGAATCGAAAAATATCTGGTAGACATTCGAATTTATAATACGAATTATTCTCGAGTTATAACATCTATGTTATGTTATTGAGAGAAGGGAAGGAAAGCACATTCGAATCAGTTCATAATCAAGTCCAGTCTTTCAATAATTATTGTATTTGGAACAATAGAATTTTGTTTTGTAAAAAAGAGGCTTATATTTTTTATCGTTTCGGGTTGACTTGTACTTCTAGAAAACTATTGGTGCTTTGGATGAAAATATCTGGAGACACTTCAAAATTATGAAACATGGATTCACATTGAAGGTGTTGAGAGGCAATGAAGATTTCTTGGAGTTTCATGATAACGAAACCAATACTATTAATCCACAAAAAATTTGGCTCCATTCGAAAGTCAATGTCTTATGGAAAGTACATCAATGTGAGTATAAATGAAATCAGTTCTGACTAAACGTTTTGAAATAGCGCCGAGAATATTATTAAAGTATAAACTGGCTATACAGAGAAAAACAATTCTTTGAATTCAACAAATATTGTTAAATTCAAAGAAATCCGAAGTTTGAATAGGTCCAACAAATAAGCTTGGTCGAATCGAAGTTTCTATTCTTTTGGTTCTTCAAATAAGTGATTTTCTTGTATCTATATAATTTATTGGAAATGATATGATCCATAATTTGGAAGAAAGTGTATATCTGTTTGAATCAAAACTATTTCTTTGGATTCATGATTAGAATTATTCAAAGTAAATAAGTATGATTTGCATCAAAGAAAGGAAAGCTTGAGGAAAACAAGGAAACTATTTGGAAGAAACAAATAATTATTTGTGATGCATAAATATATGTGAATGAAATTTGTATCAAAGAAATCAGAGCTTGACAGAAACAAGAACATTCTTTGGAAGAAACAAATGATTATTTGTGAAAAATAAATATATGTAAATGTAATTTGGCTCAAAGATATCAAAGCTTGAGAGAAACAAGGAAATTGTTTGGAAGAAACAAATAATTATTTGTGAAAAATAAATATATATTGTTTCGTAGGAAAGACTATGAAATCAGTTCGAAGAAAGAAAAAATTAGCTCAAATAATGAATTTCCTTACCAGAAATAAATTGTAGATTTGAACGAAATAAAAAATTAATGAACCCAAAGAAACAGAATCTTCCTAAGAAGAAATTCATTTCTCAGAAAATAATATTACTCTTGGAAGGAATTGAGAATTAACAACAAAATTGAACTATAACAAACTTCATTGAATAATAGAAAAAATGTGACAGACACACTGTTTGGGTTCGATATACTATACAGAAGTCAAGATACATGATGATCCTGAAGCAGGTTGATCGCTGTTATTTGTATCCAACCTCAAGTATTCGGCAGGTGGATCATCGGCTCTATCATTCGGTGCATCAGCATCAATAAAAATGTTTTCGCCGGAAATCACTGGAGTATTCACATCAATGACAGACATAGCAGATTTCTTATTGCTCTCCTGAAAGTTTAGTATATTTTAATGCGGAAATAGATCAAATATATGCATAACAAGGAAATCAAAATTCCATACCATTGTTGTGCATTGATGACAATTTTTTATATGAAGAAAAGAGCTGTGATAATTTTTGTTCTAGTGATTATTTTCTCTATAATACATACATATTATCTATATCTACATGATATCTCAGAAGACGTATATCTGAATAGCACCGAAAAAATTCAAGGGGTGATTCCTGAGTTTTCTTCTCCTTGAGATGCTAACATAGAATCAAAACATGTAACAAAGTAATTATCATTTATTTCATGGAAACAAATATTTTGTTTCAAGTAAAGCTGGTGACATTTGAATGTAGGAAATATTTATTTGACTGCTTGGAATCTTCCATTGAAAATCATAGAAGAATTTGAATGCCATTTCACTGGAGTATTTCAATATACAGCAGATTAGGAAGTATACTTATCTACCAAATTGCACGGTTTGTTTTTTGATGGAGATCGGTATGAAAACATCAGGGAATCAACAAATCATAAAAAATTTCACGCCATTATTTCGATTTCCAAGTATGAATTACAATTTTTCACCTCTGAAAATGGGGACCAGATGACCCAAATGCCATTCTTCTGAAAAATCCATCACTACACATTAGGAGAATAGTGAAACTCTGTAAATATGCTGTGGAATTAACTATACTAAATCACCACTGTACGATACGACCCGACGAACCACATCAGAGATACAAAACGAATGCGTTATGGCGGGACGCGAGTCTGGTGGTTGTTTACGTTTCAGACAGGGTTGCCAGATGGAGCCGGAGAGCTCGTGAACCTTTCATATTATCTGTACAAGACAAGCAATTTTTATGGTGATGAATCAAAGGATGCAGGTCTAACCCTTGCATGTCATCCTCCCCTTAATTTTTCAAGTGTAAAAATAATTTGAAAAATTAACTTGCCGCTGTAAACCTGAGATTATATTATGATGTCAATTAGACATTGTAGAAAAAAGATACAAATCGACAGACGGTTTCGATGAAAAGTAGGTGCCAGGCGAGTCCAAAGGTGGGGGAAATATAATTCGAAGACCAAAATTTAAGTTTACTGACTGGACACGTTTTCGATTTCATTTATTGATAATAAAATTATCTGAATGGATACTTACAAAGTCGCTACTGGTAAAATAGTTACAATCCACCCCTTCAGAATAATTGTAGCTCACCCGTTTTTTCAAAAATACTTGATAACCGAGCATTTCAGGTTCAAAATTTTGCTTCAAATTGCGTATCAGTCAAGTCCAGAATAGGTATTCAGCTCGAGTAAAGATACAACTCTATGTTGGATATGATGCAGGAGATCCAGCCATAAAACATCAATTCTTGAATCAGGTCAAAAAGCCATGGACGACCCAAAGACAAAAGCGCCTAATTTGTTGTCGGATTGTCTATAAGTGCGCCGTAATTGAGCACCAAGCGTCAGATCTAGAAACCCTGATTTTGGATATTATATATAGAAACAAGTCACGCCACCGAATTGAACAACAATTAAGACTTTAAGTTGTGGTTTGGTGATTTTTTCAGTCATGGGCATCGTTGATTTTACTTTGGTAGAAGGAAATAAGTCAGTTGTTTTTACTTTTTCTGGATCTGGATTCTCATTTTCCCAATCATGCGAACATTCGACTACACATAACAAAAACAAGCATATAATCAAAGCAATATTTGATTTGGGTCAAACATTACTATATTTTGTTATAAATTCTGCTGTCGTTCAAAAGAACAATTCCATAATGTATTTTTAAGAAGCATTTATTCGAGGTGAATGACACACTCGCACTGTTCAAATGATATTTTTTAAATACAAATTTTTTGTTTGTGCATGACAACTTCATGAATTGGTCATATTTATATCAAAATTAATTTTCGCCAACAATGTGAGATTTCTGTTCAAAATAATATTTATTTGCTTCAAGTAACATTTATTCCTTCGAAATAAATATATTTTCAACAAATGCTATTGTTTCACCCAAACAAATGTCATTCAAATGAGCCGATAATTTCAAACAAAGGATTTGATTTGGTTTTAAGAAATAATAATTGTTTCTCGCAAATAATTTATTTCATGCAAACAAATATGAGTCAAACAAATGAGATTGTTTCACGCAAAGAAACGTTTTTCTTTGTGATGAAAACTAGGGATGTGGCATAGGTATACCTTTCGATGTCATACAAATGGAAAAGAAAACAGTTTGTATTTCATTTTATGTAAAAACATATTGTTGACTCAGGATGTTCAATCCAGCCGTGACCAATGAGAAGGATGAACGATATATGACGTCACGCCATTGTAATTTTATCAATATTTGTAATGCTCGGAGAAATATTCGTTCATTTAATTTTATTGAAATGCGGTTATATCACAGTCCATGGAGTTCCTATGGAGGAATAATTGGTTTGATTGCTGCGTGATGTCATGTGATGTATGCATCCACCCTGTTGAGTGAACATCCTCGACAAACTCAGATAAATAATAGGAAAGTTGAAATTTATCCATTTTTCTACTCGTCATACTAGCTCGGGATTTTTCCGCACTGAATGTTTTTTATCTATATTGACATACCTATTCACCGATTGAAATTTTCAGTCTAGTGGAAAACGGCATTGTAGACTTCACATTTTCAGGGTCTCTTACACTGAATGAGGAGAATAGGATATCAATAAAAAATCTACAAGTCTGTTCAAGTAGAATGATGTATTCTTGTTTTCAGACAAATATCTCTACTCTGATTCAGAGGGAAATGATCAGTTAGGTCCTTCCTTCCAATTACAACAAAACACACTTTGTATTTCAATGTTCATGGCACTCTGTGATACATGTTCATTGACACTGATAATTAAAATAAACAAGAAGAAGACTTTATTGAAAGAAACATTTAATACTACGGTAAGTTCATGATATAGGAATGACGAATGAAAATAGTATCAGAGTGTTCTCTTCAAGAGAGAAAATTATATACTTGTATCTATTCTGTCCACATAGTGTAGAATAGCTCTGTAGCTCCACTGCAATAAGATATACTTTTTTCTATGACTGTTGAGAACTAGACCTTTTTTATGTAACATTTTTGTTGGGTAACTGGATGCATTACACAAAACAAGCCACGCCCCGTGTGTAAGAGCCTTTACACAACAGGCTATGGCCAATCAGCAACAAAGCAGATTCATTACCTACAAAACAGTTGACACCAGTTGTAATGATAATATGGGGCATGCAGTGAAACGTTTGAATCAGACTCGTCATGAAATGTCATGATTTGACAATACCTATCTGGCGTGATTTAGAACTGACTTTTTGTACAAATATGGATTCAGAAAGCGAAAATGAATTCAACTGCTCTCCACCATCAGCAGTTTCGAAAGCTGCCAATTCAAGTACAATCAGCCTTTTGCCCGAGGAATCTAAAAAAAGGTATGAAGTGGTTTGGCGAAAAGCAAAACTTGCAAATTCGTTTTCGGATAATGTACTGCTAGCCTATTTTGGCGAATTAGCAGCTAAACACAAAGCATCCTCCTTGTGGTCACAGTATTCCATGCATATACTAAGAAGCACAATTTCAATGGGAAATTATGTGAATATTGACAAATATTTGAAATTACGAGCATTTCTAAAAAGGAAATCTGATCGATATATGTCAAAGAAAGCGAAGATATTCACTGCTGATGAACTCGACCAGTTCATCACTCAGTCATAGAAAAAGTATAGTATTCTACTTGCGTGTAATGGCTATTACTCATTCGAATGATTACGACGTTCGCCTGCGGCTCACGTCGCAAACTTCATTCTCATGAGTAATGGCCATCATTACACGCTCGTCGAATAATATACTATTATACAACATTCTTTTGGGAATATAGGTAGTACAATATCGTGATGTCTTACAATCAGAATTATAATAATTGTTGAAAAAAAAACAGTAGGGTTCGTGTAGAAAGGCTGGAGCTTTTATTCAAATTTCAGACAATTCATACAATCATACAATTAACTAAAAAATATCATCCTCAATCAACAACATTACTATGCCAACGCACTATTTCTGATTTCATAATTCGAGTCACTTGATACAAATTATATTGTATCTGAATTGTTCACAGGGTGAATCATATTCTCAACACAACCCCTTAATTTGTATAAAGTGATACTCGTCTATCAATATATTATACATGGTGAATATCAACACTAAACATATAATTAAGCATATAAGTACAATAATTATTTCAATAAATTTATATGTTGACTGATTTTTACATTTCCCAAAGGTTTCGTGAAAATATCAGCTATTTGTTGATCTGTTGGACAATATTCAATATCGATCAACCCAGCAGAAAATTTCTCATGCAAGAAGTGACATTTCACATCAATGTGCTCACTCCATGTATTAATAATGCCATCTTTAATCAGTTTCATTGAGCTTTGATTATCAACATGAAGTCTAATAGGTATATCTCGAGAAGTAATTTCACATATGAAAGATTTCAAGTAAAGTAGTTCCTTAAAACACTCAGCAGCCGCAATATATTCGGCCTCTGTAGATGATGACTGTTTTCTTGAAGCCCAGCTAATCAGACCCCCACAAAATATTATTACAGAAGCTGTTGTACTTTTTCTTGACTCGATATCACCAGCAAAATCAGAATCACAGTATGCAATCAGTTCTAGGTGACCCTTCTTGTCATAATTTATTCCCTTGTCTAATTTCCCATTGAGATATCTAAAAATCCTTTTTATTCAAATAACATGACTGGCTTCCCAGTTATTCAAATATCTGCTACAGTACCCTACAGAGAAACATGAATCAGGTCGAGTTCTGTTATAAAAAGGTACAATAAACTGTCTACTGCTTCCTGAAATGGATAGTCGAACTTATGTCCCCCTTCCTGGTTCGAATAGTTTTGCATTGGTGTTGATACGGGTTTACAATTTTTCAATTCGACCTTCTCAAGAAGTTTCTTTGAATATTCTGACTGTGACAAGGTTATTGAATCTTCATTTTCAATAGGATCTATACCTAAAAATACATTTGGATCCGTATTTATTGTCATTTCAAATTCATTTTTCAAAAGTTCTAAAATATCATTTACTAGATTGGGATCATCTCCTATTAAAATTCCATCATCAACGTGAATACCCTAAATGATAGTGCCATCAATATTTTTGAATATGCACTTTTCAGTTTGACTCTGTATAAGACCAATTTGTTTCAGATATGATGTGAACCTTTGGTTCCATTTAAGTGGTGCCTGCTTCAAACCATATAGAGCTTTGTTTAGTTTACATAACATTCCACCTGCATCATATCCTTCCGGAGTGTACATGTAAATAATTTCATCAATATTACCGCAGAGAAAAGCAGTTTTGATATCAAATTTGACAATTTTCCTTTGAAATTTTGCAGCCAATAAAGCTATCATGATTCGAAGAGGGGCACTACTTATCACTGGACTGAAAGTTTCATTATAATCCATGAAATGACGTTGCTCGCAACCTCAAATAACTAATCTAGCTTTATACCTACCATCTTTTTCAGTTTCAAAAATCCACCTGCAGCTCAGAACATGTTTTCCATTAGCTTCCAATTCATTCACCAATGACCAAGTCTTGTTTTTCTCTAAGCTTTCCATTTCTTCGCGTATGGCCTCTTTCCATTTCTTCTTTCCTGGTCCTTCAACAGCTTCAATAAAAGACAATGGCTCAGCTACCCCTAGAAGATCATATTCAAATTGACCAAGTCGCTGTGGAGGTTTGATAAGATCTCTTCTTCTCAAAATTCTTTCCTCCGGTACTTGCTTTTCTTCACAATTTTCTTGCAATTCTTCACAATGTTTTTCTGAATCTTCTGAGGTAGTAGGGGCATTCATGTTCTATGGGCTGTTGAATATTTTGACGCTGTGATTCCTCCAGATAAACTAATAGTTCTCTCTCGTCAGGCTCTGGCGATTCAGATTTTACATCAACAAAGAATTTTCCATTTACATTTTCCATACAATTATTTTATTTGGTAGAGAAACGATATCACGAGCATATTCCATGGTTTTTGTATCGGGAAAATATATTTTTTCTGTGACGAAAACAAAGTTTGGCATTTCATCTCTGTTGGCAGGTTATAAAATGTCACTTTTCATAAATTACTTTTTTCCGTGGGAAAAAAGTTAGTACTTTTTTCCCGGATATATATCACATATATATATATATATATATATATATATATAGGATGAAACTGTCGATTTCCTTCGGGTATGCAGTCAAAGAAAAACAAAGTGTACTCTTGTTTCTGTTCAAGCTTTCGAGTCTTTATTGGCTCTTCATCAGGAACTCTATAAAACAATTAAAATTGATATGGAACTTTAATCCTTGTTATCGATTATAAAACACTTACGGAAAATGAGGTTTTGTTGAAGCTGGCTTCCATTAAGTGGGAAATAATACATGTGTAAAAGAACATTCACAACATGAAAACATCAATATTTTTGAAAGTTGATAAAAATTATTACATTATATTTGATTTTAGTCGAGAAAACTTGCAAAGCATTTTTGCTGCGGTAAATATTACAACATGGCTGACAAACAGAAGCAGAACAGTAACATGGACACCTGTCTGAATGAATTATGTAATGATCAAAATTTCATCTGTCATGAGTCAATTGTCAAAATTCAAACATCCGGAAATGACGGTAATTCATTAAAGTGAATAAAAATAGAAGAAAAAGATGAATATTAGAACATGAATCAAACTTGAAAAAAAGAACCTTTTTAGAAATGACACATATTTTCAAATCAACGAACACTATTAATACTAGAACTGACATAGACAATTTAAGCATAATTTACTCGCACCTTTTAAGTTTACCAGCTAACCGCAATAACATAACAATCATTGATGAATTTTAAATTTCCCGGTAAAAACGAACAGTTGGCAATACCATCATTGGAATGTCCATCTTTTTCTTCTATTTTTATTCACTTTAATGAATTACCGTCATTTCCGGATGTTTGAATTTTGACAATTGACTCATGACAGATGAAATTTTGATCATTACATAATTCATTCAGACAGGTGTCCATGTTACTGTTCTGCTTCTGTTTGTCAGCCATGTTGTAATATTTACCGCAGCAAAAATGCTTTGCAAGTTTTCTCGACTAAAATCAAATATAATGTAATAATTTTTATCAACTTTCAAAAATATTGATGTTTTCATGTTGTGAATGTTCTTTTTTACACATGTATTATTTCCCACTTAATGGAAGCCAGCTTCAACAAAACCTCATTTTCCGTAAGTGTTTTATAATCGATAACAAGGATTAAAGTTCCATATCAATTTTAATTGTTTTATAGAGTTCCTGATGAAGAGCCAATAAAGACTCGAAAGCTTGAACAGAAACAAGAGTACACTTTGTTTTTCTTTGACTGCATACCCGAAGGAAATCGACAGTTTCATCCTTAACTTAGACAGTCGTCTAATCCTCTCCTCTACTTATAGATATGGGTTTTTATCAAGACATTAACAATCGATATGGATACGCAACCATGATCCAACTCAAGACATATGCTAACACGAACATCAAGCTTGCTTCCAACCGTAACAGATGCACCTTTCTCATAAAATGCAGACAACACAACATTTTTCCTGATCATATCACACATGGCATTAAGAACATTACAGAACTCACAAGCTCAGCTGTAGGAAGGACTTTGCACACAGCTGTAAACTTCAACGAAAGGTTAAGGATTAAACTTCTAAACCTAGAAATTAAAATTACACATGATAGTATTCGTAGTTTGGAGAGAACATTGACTTCTTCTAAAGCTAAAATTGTTAACTTATTACCATATGATATTTCTACCAACTTTTTTAGAAAACAATCAATTGCCTACAATCGACGATTTC